TAGATGCTACTTTAACTCATTGGAACACATTGTTTCTGGAGGTTGTGTGGTGTAGCCACTAACAGTTTAGGACACCTGCTCTGAAGACCCTGTTAAATTTTAATTTAGCCACAGGCACAGATTTACAGAAAGTGTCTTTTCTTTCCTTTTTTGTTGTTGTTTTGTTTTGTTTTGTTTTGTGAGACTGGATTGCTCAGTGTAGCTTTGGCTGTCCTGGAATTTGTTCTGTAGCCCAGGCTGGATTTGAATTCAGAGGTCTGCCTGCCTCTACCTCCTGGGTGATGGGATTAAAGGTGTGTATCAACACATCTGGCAAATAAATCTTTAAAAAAAAAAGAAGGAAGGAAGTAAAGGATGAAAGAAGGAAGTATAAAAAAGAGAGAGAGAAGGAGAGAAAAAGAAAAATGGGGCTGGGGAGATGGCTCAGAGGTTGAAAGCACTGGCTGTTCTTCCTAGAGAACCTGAGTTTAATTCCCAGGAACCACATGGTGGCTCACAACCGTCTGTAATGAGATCTGGTGCCCTCTTCTGTAATGCAGGCAGAACAATTTACACATAATAAATAAATAAATCTTTTTAAAAAAGAAAAAAGCCGGGCGATGGTGGTGCACGCCTTTAATCCCAGCACTCGGGAGGCAGAGGCAGGTGGATCTCTGTGAGTTCAAGACCAGCCTGGTCTACAAGAGCTAGTTCCAGGACAGGCTCCAAAACCACAGAGAAACCCTGTCTTGAAAAAAAAAATTAATTAATTGTGGGCTGGGAGATAGTTCAGTGGGTAAGATCACTTGGTAAACAAGCAAGCAAAGTCTAGTTCCCAGCACCCATGTGAAAAGATGGGGTTGGTGAAGAATGTTCTGGACTAGATCACTCCTATTTGACTCCAGAATAAACTATCTCTTATTCCCTTGGAGGTAAGAACTGAGTTTTTGTGTTGATAGAAGCTTTGGTGTGGTTGTCAAAGAGAGCACGTGACTGTAATCTGTCTCCTCTCTGGTGCAGAAGGTAACTGACTGGGATGATTTACAACTCTGTGGTTTCCCTGGTCTTCCTGTCTGCTGGGCCTTTTTGTTTTTTCAGAGAGAGAGAGAGAGAGAGAGAGAGAGAGAGAGAGAGAGGGAAGAAGGGAGGGAGAAGAAAGAAGAGAGGGAAAGGGAGAGAGAGAGAACATGTTGCGAACATAAGTCTGTAAGGCCCGTTTATGTTTAGACAACACTGGTATGAAGATCTGATGAGTCAGCTAAAACGCGGCTGACACTGGACATGGGGGTCTGTGAGCCAACATAAAATGTCTGACACAGATATCCAGAGAGCCTAAAAGTGAGTGCTGATGCATTCTGCTGCATAGCTATTTTGTCAGAATGCCACTTTGGTGTGATTCTGTATAAACACGGCCTTGTGTGTGTTTGTCTGTAGGTCAAGTGCCTATAGTCACATGGTTTGTGTACCAGTCTACATGTGTCCTGGCATGAGTCTGGGTGACTGCTGGTGGCTACCTGCCTGGGGTCTGTGTACTAGTGAATAAAGTATGTCTTCTCTGCCTATGGCTCTTCAACCTCCCGACCCTGTGACCCTCTCTTTTCGTGGCATCGCAATACGGACCTCACAATGACATGGCACACGTGCGGAAGTCAGAGGACAACTCTCTGGAGTTGGTTTGCTCCTTCCCCCACGTGGGTCCTTAGGATTGAACTGAGGTCCTCAGGCTTGGCAGCAAGCCCCTTTACCCACTGAGCCATCGCCTTGTGTATCTGTTTTTATGCCCATGCCATGCTGTTTTGATTACTGTATCTTTAGAGTCCTATTTCTTTTGCTCAAGATGGCTTTGGCTATTTGGGAATTTTCATGCTTCCATATGAACCCTAGGATTGTTTTTTTCTATTTCTGTAAAGAATGTTATTGGTATTTGTGTTTGTTGGGTGGTTTTCTTGAAAGAGACTTCGGCTATGTATCCCTGCCTGGCCTGGAACTCACTATTTAGACCAGGTTGTGCTGTGGAATAATCCTTCTATACACTGTGTGAATATATGTTGCTCTGATTGACTTAATAAACAAACTGACTGGCTAGCTGAACAGGATAAAGTTAGGCAGGAAAGCCAAACTGAAAATGATGGGATGAGGAAGGGCGGAGTCAGAGGAGTCGCCAGCCAGACGCAGAGGGAGCAGGAGATAAACTGCTGATAAAGATACTCCCATGTGTCAGAGTGTGAATAAGGAATATGGGTTAACTTAAAATGTAAGAGTTAGTTAGTAATAAGCTTAATAAGGTCAAGCATTTGTAACTAATATTAAGCCTCTGGGTTATTATTTGAGAGTAGCTGGGGACAGGAAAACTCCTGCTACAAGGTTGTCCTTGAAACCACATCAATCCTTCTGCTTCTGCTTCCCCAGTACTGGGACGACAGTGTGTGCCTAGCAAAGCCAGGCTGTCTGTACTTTGATCTGTTCTGCACAGAGTCTATGGTTTACTTTGGGTAATGGACATTTTTAACAATCTTAATTCTTCTAATCCATGAGCATGGGCTCTTTCTACTTACTTTTTAAAAATTATGATCTATGTATACATGTATGTGTGAACACACACACCACACTGTGTGTGCAGACGCCAGAAGGCCATGCTGTGGGGATGGTTCTCTCTTTCTACCTCTATGGAGCTTTCTGGCAGGAAACTCAGGGCAGGCGCCAGGATCACCCTGCACTCTACTCTCTGAGCCGTCTCTCCACTCCTATTTCTTTCACGAATGCGGTATGAGTTGGTGGCAAATCTGGGTGGTTGTGTGGACAGTAGCAAGAATAAGACTCCATGGCAAGGGCCAGCTAAGACCCACGCCCAGACTTAGGCTTTGCTGGCTTCTGGGTACAGACTTCCTTAGGCTTTTATTCGGGCCCTGAAAATGTTCTAGGGTATCTGGACAGCAGAAGCTTGCATTCTTCTACCAACAGGCTACTAAAGCTGGTGTCTCCGGGACAAGGAGACTTGTTCGTAGCAGTTTAATGGTCTTGCAAGTACTGGAATAGCTGAGCGCTTTACATTCTGTAATCTGAGCATTCCCTCTGGAAAGACCAGTGTCACCCTCACGATACTTTATTTTTAGATGCTGGAGAGTAGTTAAGTCGTTAAGAGTGATTGCTGCTATTGCAGAGGACCAGGGCTTGGATTCAAACATCCTCCTCCAGCAGCTCACAAGCACCTGTAACCCTAAGTGAGGGGATTACAGCACCCTCTTCAGGCCTCCATGGGCATTAGCATACACACATAAGCACACAAAAATAAAACTATTTTTTTTTTAAGATTTTATTTATTATGTGTACAGTATTCTCAGTATTCTCTCTGAAGGTATGCCTTCAGGCCAGAAGAGGGCACCAGATCTCATTGCAGATGGTTGTGAGCCACCATGTGGTTGCTGGGAATTGAACTCAGGACCTTTGGAAGAGCAGGCAGTGCTCTTAACCACTGAGCCATTTCTCCAGCCCCCCAATAAAACTATTTTTTAAAAGGTGATTCTTTTTTTTTTTTGAGACAGGGTTTCCCTGTAGCTTTGGTGCCTGTCCTGGAACTAGCTCTTATAGACCAGGCTAGCCTCGAACTCACAGAGATCCGCCTGCCTCTGCCTCCCGAGTGCTGGGATTAAAGACATGTGCCACCACTGCCCGGCAAAAAGATAATTCTTAACCAGGCAGAGAGAGATTTAATCCCAGTACTCAGGAGGCATAGGCAGGCAGATCTCTGTGAGTTCAAGGCTAGCCTGGTCTACAGAGCAAGTTACAGGACAGCCAGGGCTGGACAATTGTTTTTAACGATATTAATCTCAAAAAAAAATTACATTTTCTCATCTCTAGCTATAGTGTAGAACACGGCTCCTCTACAATTCAAACTTTAAACTCAAAATCCTACATTTGTGAAGTGTTTTTTTTTTTAAAGATTTATTTATTATGTAACAGTGTTCTGTCTGCATGCATGCCTACAGGCCAGAAGAGGGCACCAGATCTCATTACAGAGGGTTGTGAGCCACCATGTGGTTGCTTGGAATTGAACTCAGGACTTCTGGAAGAGTAGCCAGTGCTCTTAACCTCTGAGCCATCTCTCCAGTCCACTGTGTAGTGTTCTTGTATCTTCAGACCTTCCATAAGATTTCTGCAATAGCCCTTACTTTATAGCTTTTACCCCTTAATTTTTAAATTTATTTTATTTTGAATAATGTGTATATGTGTGAGTATGTGTACAAGAGTGTAGGTACCTCAGAGACCAGAGCTGTTGGATCCCTTGGAGATAGCACAATAGGAAACTGTGAGCTGCCCAATGTGGGTGCTGGGGACCAGCCCAAGTCCTCTGGAAGAGCATAAGTGCACTTAACCACTGAGCCATCTCTCTAACCACCGAACTTAATTATTATTGTTGTTTTTGGTGGTGGTGGTGCTATGTGCATATATCCATGTGTATGTGGGAAATGTACAAGTGGGGGGATGTACATATTAGTATGTGTAGTCAGAAGACAATTTTTGGGAGTTTGCTTCCTACTGCCTTGTTCGGGACATAACTCAGATGGTCAGGCTTGCATGGCAAGTGCTTCCATCCACTGAGAATTCTTTTTTTAATATTTTATTTATTTATTACATATACAATATTCTGTCTGTATGCATGCAGGCCAGAAGAGGGCGCCAGGTCTCATTACAGATGGTTGTGAGCCACCATGTGGTTGCTGGGAATTGAACTCAGGACCTTTTGAAGAGCAGGCAGTGCTCTTAACCTCTGAGCCAACTCTCCAGCCCCCCACTGAGAATTCTTGCTGGCCCCTGAAGCTTTTTGGTTTTCTATGTGGCTGGAATCAAGAGCTTCCCATAAGGTAGGCAAGTGCTATCCCAACAAGAGACGCCTTCAGTCCCATTAACCACTTAATAATTAATGAAACACACTGAGTTTCATCTTTGCTAAATTTCTTATTATTCGTATAATCGGAGTAAAGCTAAAAATTTACACATCAATTTTTATATTGATAGGTCATTTGGGGGAAGAAAGAAAAACTGGCAGTTCCAAGACGGATGGACGTGTAAGTGCTGAGACCTTCAAACAAGCTGGTGAGGATGGTTCACTTCTCAGGAGGACAGGACTAGCTCTGTGAGTTCAAGGCCAGCCCGCTCTGAGGAGAGTTCCCGTTAGAGCGTTCCAAGAGACTCCTTCTCAAAAAAATCAAAAGAAAACAAAAGAAAACAAAAACAGATTTCCTTCAAGTATGCATAAAAGGTGTGATAAGATGGTCCACACTGATAGTATCAACACAAGAGAGCCTCTGAGGCAGGAGTAATGCCAAATCAAGACCAGACTGCCCATTCAAGGCCAGCCAGGGTTGCAGTGTGAGACTGGCTCAAAATATAAAACAAAGTGGAAGCAAAGAGGGGTCTAGAGAGATGCCCGCACCTTCAGCTCCACTGGAGCCAATGCCCTCTGGCTTCGTGCCCAAGATAAATCTAAAAACAAACTGAATCCGAAAAGCAGCGTTCCACAGGTGTAAGCTCAGTGTGTGCGGATTAGTAAGGCCAAGACCAGCCTGAGGGCTACAGAGTAAACGCTATCTAAATAAAAGTTAATTAAAATAAAGGACTTGCTGGGCCGTGGCGGTGCACGCCTTTAATCCCAGCCCTCCAAAGGCTGAGGTGAGGCAGGCTGATCTCTGCTAGTCCAAGGCCAGCTTGGTCTACCAGAGCTGGACAGGCTCCAAAGAAACATAGAAACCCCATCTCAAAAACAACAACAACAACAACAACAACAATAATAATAATAATAATAATAATGGGCTGGGGAGGAGTCTCAGTAGGCAAGAGCATGGGCACTTACACAAGAGGCCAGGAGAAGCCAGGCATGCGCACCTTTGACAGTCAGAGGATTCCAGACTGCCGGAATGGGAGCTGTGCTCCTGACAGGGCACTTTCACTTGGACCAGAGCAAACAGAGCGAAGGTGTGATCTCCATTTCTCCTACAAACTCTTGAGACAATTCAGATCCTCAGGAGGAGCCTGAAATAAAGACAATTCTTAAGGTGCCTAAAATAAAATTTTCTTAGGAGGAATGCCTCTGTCTTATAGTCCTAGAAACAGGAATTTATTTTTGGTCCCCTTGTGTTAGGAAGAAGTTACTTAACAATCCTGTTTATCCAGTACTTTGCTGCTAACTGGCATTGATGAAATGAAGACATTTCTCCCATCCAAACGCTATCCAGGCCTAACTCTACTTAGCTTCCAAATACAGGGATATGGCCATATACGATAAAAGTTATTTCTAAGGTGATTTTTATTTTTGTATTGTTTTAAAGGACAGTGTCTCTCTCTATATATAGTAATCCAGATTGATCTAGAACTTGAAATCCTCCTGCCTCAGCCTCCCAGCCACTTCTCCACCCCAGGTCTGGAATTAAGTGTGTGCTCTCATATCTGGCTATTAGGTACTCTGCTCTGCTCAAAGTGTTGGATATTTTGATGTTATCCACCTACTTACCTCTGTCTGTCTGTCTGTCTGTCTATCCATCCAGCTATCATCTATCCACCTATCTATTTATTTAGAGTGTAGGCACATGTGTGGAGGTCATAGAACAACTCTGTTTTCTTTTTCCACCATGTGGCTCTCAGGGTCATCAAGTTTGGTGGCGAGTTCCTTTCCAAAGAGCTAACTGGCTGAGTCCCCAGTTAGCTCTTGACAGACAGATGAGTAGGTTGCTGGACACAGGCTGAGGGAGGCTCCACCTCATGAATACATGGTTGCTCAGGCCATTCTGTCACATTCTTCTTGGTATGCAGTGGCAGTTTCAGGCCCTGAAGTGGCACCCTCACTGCCGTCCAAACTCTACTGGTTAGAGCTCAGTAACATGGCCGGGTGGTGGTGGCGCACGCCTTTAATCCCAGCACTTGGGAAGCAGAGGCAGGCAGGTCTTGGTGAATTCTAGGTCAGCCTGGTCTACAGAATCTCAAAAAATTAAAACCAAAACAAAACAACAACAATAACAAAAAAACAAACTAGTAACATGATCCCATTTAGACGCAAGGGTAGCTAAGCATGGTCAAGCTTCCCGTCTGTATTCAGGAAGAAGAGAAAATGGAGTTTGGTAAGTAATTAGCAGTCTGTTATGATGTCTAAATCCTAGTAAACTGAGTTCTTGGCTGTAAGAAACAGTTTGTATTATCAGTGAGCAGAGTGATAGTGTCACTTCTCTGTAAAGAAGTTATTGGCACTGACAAAGAACACCAATCAGGCGACAAATGTCCCACAGGTTCTGTTGTCTCCAGCTGGTGGTGCCTTAGGACTTGGAACCTTGCTGAGAAAGTGTCTCTGGGGGCAGGCTTTGAGAATTTATAGCCTCACTAACTTCCAGCTCTGCTGTCTGCTTCCTGTGTGCGGTTAAGATGTGATCCCTCGGCCTCCTGCCCTGACCCACCTGCAGTCATGCTTCTCCTGCTGTCATGGACTTCATCTCTAGTCCAAATAAACAGAAAGTCCAAATAAACTTGGATCTGTAAGTCGGTCTGGTCATGGTGTTTATCACAGCAATAAAAATTAATGAGCACAGTCACACTTTAACAAGTAGAAAAGTACTAAATTCTGACACCACTTTTCTTGACTTTAAACAAAAAAAAATCACATTTATCATTTAGTTTTTGTCATGTATATGTGTGCTATTTTCAGCTGGAAAGCACTTTAATATAACTGACTTGAAATGGTATATGAGAGGGTATATTTCAGCATTGATATTATTTTTCTTTTTTTTTAAATACAATTTAGTTGTTCTTTTTTTAATGATTTATTTTGTATTTTACATGCTCTGGTGTTTTGCCTGCACGTATGTCAGCATGAAGGTGTCAGATCCCCTGTAACCGGAGTTACAGACAGTTGTGAGCTGCCACATGGGTGCTGGGAATTGAACCCAGGTCCTCTGGAAGAGTAGTCAGTACTCACAACCACTGATCCATCTCTTCTAGCCCCTGATTTAGTTTTCAATGTGGGGGTCAAATTCTGGGTCTCATGCTTGGCAGGCACCACCGATCCATATCTCTAGGTTCCTTGAGCCCACCCCAAAACCCAGGCAAACCTTGAATCTATTCTCCTGCCTCAGCCTCCCAAGAAACCAAGAGTATAGGCCTGCAGCACCAGTTCCAGCCAGTGCCCAGACCTTTTCTACAAGCACAAGTTCAATTACCTTTTTGCCCCAGGAATTCCAGTCTTGTCAACGTGTCTGTCAGTTTGCATTTACTCTGCCATCAGCATTTTCTGTTTTCCCCCAATTGGTCTTTAAGGTGTCTGTATCCTGCCATGACCACTTACCTTCTTCCGAGACTGAAAAGCTGAAAAGCTGACCACACCCTGCCGCTTGGGTCTGCATCTGAGTCTGGACCCCAGTTTACAGCTGCAGATCGAAACTTATTATCCCTACCACTCACTATCTAGAGCTCTCTGCAGTCCTGCATGAAGTGCAGTAGGTGGATTATTCTTATCTTTAGATTACCCTTTCAGAGTAAATCCTAACTTAAGGTCAACTATCTGGACTGGAGATGCTTTCTTGCAAAGTCTTAAGGTTCTTGTTGTGCTGCTTGCCAGCAGCTGTGATGCATTGTTTATTCTGGGCTAGGAAAGAAGGACTCAGAAGAACATTAAGAATTCAGATTTTAACTCTGCTTCACGACCATCCTAACTATGTAATAAGGTCCCATTCCAGTAGAAGCAGCAAACAGGAGGAGCACCGATCTGTTTGAGCTAGGTGGACACTACACTTCCCCAGAGACTAGGGGTGTGGAGGCGGGCTCTGAACCTCAAGGTCATCCATCAGCAGGCCCAGCAAAAGCCGGTTCTACGTGACCCTCTCTGACCTTTACTCTGGAGACAGGACATTCCTTTTTTGTTTGGTTTCCTGTCGCCGTTCTGAAAGTGCCTCGACAGCAGATACACGTGCTGGTCCCGCATCTTGTTCCACACATTTCCCAATCATGCGTGCTCAGGAGCTTTAGCTGCTGCAGCGCTGCTCCACACTGATCCCGACACAAAGATTCCATCACTCTGAGGGAGATGCATTTGTCACACTTGCTAAGTTTGCCTTTAAATAAATACACGTGCAAGTGACAGGACTCTCAAACACGAGAGGTGTATAATACGCATTTGGAGCAATTAGCCAGTCTAGCGGCGAGCATGTGCCCTTCTGCTGCGCAGGAGTCCTCAAAGTCCTAGCAGGGTCCTAGCAGGGTCATCTCATCTGGTCACATGCAAATGATTTCACCAATTTTCTACTCTGGTTGTGGAGACAGCTCAGTGGGTAGAAGCACTCGCCACCAGTTCTGATGATCTGAGTTCAATCCCCAGGAGAGACCTGACTCCTGTGGGCTGTCCTCTGATACACCCCCCCCACACACACACACAAAAGTAGATATTTAAAAAGAAAACTTTATATTCAAGTTGCAAGCATCTGGAGTATGTAAAGCATTTGTTACACTCTTCCAGGATGGCTCAACATTTCAATTGAAAAGCTAGAACAAACTTAATAATTCATCCCAGCGCATTCAGCTGACTTCTGACTCCACGAGAACAGGGGAGTGTACATTGGAGTATTTGTGAGCTCAAATGGTAACTGCTGTCAGAAAGCAGAGAATCAGGGGAGCAAATAAGCTAAGGATGCCCATGAAGAGCTCTTGCAAATAAAGTTTAATCTGGATCCCTTCTGTATTAATATACTTCCTTTTATTACTGAGACAAGGTCTGGAATTCACTATGTGAACCAGGCTGGCCTCGAACTCAGAAATCTGCTTGCCTCAGCCTAAGTGCTGGGATTAAAGGTGTACACCACCATAGTTAGCTCATAATATATTTTAATACCTTTTATTTTTTGCATTAGAGGTGAGTTTAAGCCTTATATTGGCTAAAACTCAATTAATGCATTCAACATTGATTTTTTTCTATATTCATCTGAATTGCCTTTAGTCACAGTATTGTTCTGTGACTTCACATTCCATTGTCTTCTCCCCCCCCCCAGGTTTTACATGTAGGAGCGTGTACCATGAGTGCCTAGGAATTATATATAGATGATTGCAGATCACCAAGTGGGTACTGGGAACCAAATCCAGTCCTTTGTAAGAGCAACGAGTGCTCTTAACCACTCAGCCATCTCTCTAGCCTCTCCACTGTCTTTTTTACTATTGTTCTCCTGAGTTTCATGTAGCCCAGACTAGCTTCAAACCCATTAGGTAGGCAAAGATGACCCTGAACTCCTGGTCATATCTCACGAGTACTGGGGTTATAGGTGTGCATCACCACACCCACTCACCTTTTTTTTTTCTATTTATACATGCAGGTGTTTTGTCTGCATGTATGTATGTGTACATGTACCTGGTGTGAACAGAGATGAGAAAAGGGCATCAGATCCCCTGGAACTGGAGTCACAAATGGTTGTGAGCCACCACATAGGCGCTGGGAATCTAACTGGGGTTCTCTGCAAGAACACCAGCTGCTCTAAATGTTGAACCATCTCCTCAGTCTTACTCTTTTAAAAAAAAATTAAAAAATCATATTTTATTTTATTTAAAACTTTTTTATATGTGTGGGTGTTTTGCATGGATATGTTTGTGCACCATGTGTGTGCCTGTTGCCCTTGGAGGCCAGAAGGCATGAGATCCCCTGGAACTGGTATTTTAGACAGTTGTGAACTGCCACATGGCTGCTGGGAACTGAATCCAAGTCCCCTGGAAGAACAGCCAGTGTTCTAAATTGCTGAGCCATCTCTCAAGTCCTACTTAATTTGTAATATAGGATCAGGTACCCCAGGCTGGCCTCAGACTTGCTAAGCAGCATAGGATGACCTTGAACTCCTGTTCCTCTTATTTCCGTGCTGGGACTACAGGCATAGGCTATCATGCCTGACTTATTGGAACAGGGTTCAAACCCAGGGTGATTTGCTTCCAGAGTTCTGCCACTATTAAAGGCAGGCATGAGTCACCATGGTTAGTTTGTTACTTTAAAAAAGTGACCTGTAGTAGCTGCTTTTGGTTAACACTGTTTTTTCTTTATGACCAACTCATTAACAAGGTAACTATTCAATCATTAAGGCACTTTTTTTTTTTTTAATAAGTCACCCAGGTTAGCCAGGAGGCTCATTGGGTAAAGGTGTCAAGTCTGATGACCTGACTTCGATCCCTTAGTCCCGCAAGGTAGAGCAGACTCCTAAAAGTCTCCCTCTGTTCTCCAGGCACGTGAAGTAGCACATGACCCCCTCAAGGCACAAAAATAAACATAATAGACACTTTAAAAACCCAATACTTCATTAAGCAATAGAAAATTATGAGTGACTTTTGAGATCTTGAACCTCAACATTTTGTTGCTATTCAGATCAAAACACAGACATCTTCACATTGTTACCATGGGTTTCCAAAGAATTGTCTACGCTTCTAAAAGCTATTTATGTGTAAGGACAGAAGAGCACGCAAAGAAGCTGGGGCCTTTCCACGTCATTGTATCTGTGTTCCCAGCAGCGGAGCTTGGTGTAAGCAGAAGAGCTCTAGGGCCAGGTTCCAGTCTAGATGCTTCGGGCTGAAGACGTTTAGCTGTGCACACACACGTTTGGCTCATATAAACCAAAGGGTCTCCTTCAGAGACTGAACAAGGACTAATGAGCTAAGAACAGCAGCAGCAACGGTATGGGTATTTCCAAAACACGGCTTCTCAACATGTCAGAAGTGCTCAGGAGGCTGGAGAAGTGGCTCAGCAGTTAAGAGCACTTGCTGCTCTTGAAGAGGACCCAAGTACATGTCCCAGCACCTAATATGTCAGTTCACAACTCCAGAGGGATCCAATGTTCTCTTCCAGCCTTCTTGGGAGACTGCACTCACGTGCACACACAGTCACATATACAGATGCACAAAAGGAAAAATAAAACTGTCAGTCAGGCAGTGGTGGCGCATGCAGGAGGCAGAGGCAGGCAGATCTCTGGTTTCGAGGCTAGCCTGGGCTCAGAATGAGTTCCAAAGGACAGCCAGGGCTACACAGTGAAACCCTGTCTCAGAAACCAAAACAAACAAACCAAAACAAAAAACATTTTTAAAAAGCAGGGGGTCAGGGACACCCATTGCTCTTATCTTTGAGAAGAGGCTGCTCTTTAGCTTGGAGTGCTTCTTGGTGACTTCCTTGGAGGAAGGTGCCCTTCTTATTTGAAGGCCACCCCTTTCTTTAAGGGCTCAATACTTGATTTGTCTCTCATTAGTTCTCAGCAGGAATCAAACCCCATTGCAGACTGCCTGTGCCTAATCACCTAAAGCCTGCTACAGGCTCAATCTCTAAAGAGGAGTGGCATCAGTTCCCAGTCCACATAACAGTTCCTCCAAAATCCCTCGAGGTGGGGCTTTCTTTCACCACCTTCCTGAAATGCAGAGGGATCTGGAGTACTACTACTATAATGTACAATAAAACTGTAATAACCCTGTAAATAATAATTACATACTTTCATATATGTGTGTATACATACCCAAGTCTTACAGGGCAAATGGCTGAGCTGTCTTCCTGCTCCCAAATGAAAACACTGAAGTCCTATTAAAACTTTCTTAAACTACAAGCAAGAGGAACTTACTTCCTTCAACATGTAGAAGCAAGTGGGCAATACTCAAAGTGCTTTTGATATTTGAGCTTCTATACTGACTGACATCCAGCAAAAGTCATCTTTCAGTTTTGTGACACTAAATACAAAAGCTGTTATTCAAACTTTGGAAAGGTGAGGTGCTCCAAAAATAAGTTATATTTAATACTTTCAGTGATGAGGTCACCATTTTATTTTCTATTCTAATTTAGTCTGTAGTAGTTGGGTTTCTCCTTGGATCACGTGAAACGCCTGCCTTTTCATAATTTCGTTTCTGTATATTCTCCATTAAGGGTATGTGTGTGGGGGAGGGGGTAGGATCCTACGGTAGTTCTCTTCAGTTCCTGTCACGTGAGTTACTTGCTTCTGCTTAACAGAGGTAGAATGGGGGCACTTTTGAAGGAGTTAATCCTGCGGAAAGGACTCTCCCACAACATCACTGTTAGCAGAGACTTCAACTACAGTTCAGTGTTTAAGTAGCAAACGAGCATTTACTACGCCAAAGAACAGGAACTTCAAGACTCCTGGCTATATAGATTCTACCCACCACAACCTCTTAATATATTTGTGATGAAAAGCTATTGCTTTAGAAACATTAACTATCATATCCAGAAATACCACCTGATTCAATGGCAAAGAGGTAATTTGAAGTCTGCTGCGTTTTAAGAAGGAACCGATAACAATTGAAAAATTCCAGTTACACAGTCTCGTAAAAATGAACCGAATTTAAGGATAAGAAATGTTAAATGAACAACTTAAAGAAGTCATGCCATATTCACCCAGATGACAGGTTTTTAATTGTACTTCCAGTTACTCAAAATAAACATTTATCGGCTTTCAAATTCATTATTTGATCTAAAAGAACTTACTGAACAAAATGCTCAGTTCCAGTGTATCCAAAAATACAAAACTACCTTGGGCTGTTTGCGGAAGAGTGCAGACGAAGGGAAACGGACACTGCAATACAGTTGTGTGGATGAAGGTAAACATGGGTCCCTGTTGACAGTCATCCCCGTCATTTGTCCACAGCCACAGATATCCACGCAGTGCATCAGGTCCCAGGGTTGCCCATAAGAAGCGGTAACCCAGTGAGAACCAAGGCTTTTAAGGTCTCTTTAAAAACGTAACGTGGTCAAACAAAAACAAAACCCAAAGCAACCGAAAGACCTGGATAAGTGGTCCAGTTAGCGACTCCTTGGCAACTCAAATCTAACCAAACGACTTTAGTGGACAATTGGATTGAAATGAGCAACACTCTCTCAACAAAACCTATAAAGCCCGTAAATTATGCTCGGCTCTGAGAATCGGCAATTACTAGCACCTTCCTTTCGCATTTTTAAATATTCTATACAGTTCTGCACCCGCGGCCTTTTCATTCATTTATTGCCCTAGACAAGATCTCCGGTGGCTCTCGGGGAATCGCTTCTGTTAAGACTGTCCTGGCAGGGCATCAGAATGCCAAGCCTCTGGGTCGAGATCCCGCCCTCGCTCCTCGGTAGATGGGAACATCATGCGCTTAGATTTGCTTATTTAATTGCGGGAATGGGAGTAGACCCAGTCCGAAGGGATGCGCCAAGTGGGCAGCCTGGGGTGTGATCTGTCCTTCGGGCGCCCCCAGAATGCGCGCCCTCTCTGGGCCTGCCCTGAGCCCGCGCGCCCCGGGCCTCGTCCGCCCGCCAAGTACCCAGAGGATGTCCCCGCAAGGACCCCGCCCCTCCCGCGTCCACGCACCTGCGGCCCCGCCCCCGGCCACGAACCTTCAGGTCCACGCACCTGCCCTGCCTTCCCTCCCGCCCCCCGCGCGCAGCCACCAAGCTGCAGCCGCGCTTCTCCTCGGACACCCGGGTATCTAAAGGGGTCCGTCTCCGGCACCACAGCCAAATGGCTGAGCCTCCCTAGCACGCTGCGCAGGCCGCCCATTGGACCCTGCCCCCCGCCGCCACCACCACCATTGGCTGGCGTCCGAAGCCTCGCCACTCGATTGGCTTGTGCTGCCGCCGCTCCACGCCGGAGCTGCAGATCCCGCCTCCACGGCGATCAGGTTAGTGTGCGCCGCGGGTGCTGGGGGCTCGAGCACCGAGCGGAGCTGGTTGAGCCTTCAAAGTCCTAAAACGCGCGGCCGTGGGTTCGGGGTTTATTGATTGAATTCCGCTGGCGCAGGATCCTCTGCAGAGAGAGCGAGAGAGAGCGCGAGAGATGGATATGGACAAACGGATTCATTTAGAGCTGCGGAACAGGACGCCCTCTGATGTGAGCATTTGCCAAAAATATCTCTGTCGGTCCATTCTCCTACTTTGTGTTATGTGTGCGTGTGTGTGTTTGCGGGGAAGGCACTTTTTTATGGAGGGGTGCTCCGGGGAGGTGTAGGGTTTGGGGTCGAACTGGAAATGAATTGCAAGGTTGGATGGGGGGGGGGGTTGCAATGCTATCGGAGCATGTTCCGGCCACCGCTGCCGCTGCCCTTGGTGTGTGACTGACTACCTGTGCGTGTGCTCCCGCGTGTGCGGGTATGGGTGCGAGGGTGTGCGTGCAAGTGTGCACCCAACGGGGGGCCGGCGGGGCGCACGCGTTCGGGTCGGAGGGAACGCGGCGATCTCACCCTCGTCCGAGCTCTCAGCTCCCACGACTCGCGTCTGGATGGAAAAGATGATCGAGGGGAGGAGAAGATGGGCTGCCTCCTGGTTTAAACAACAAAAAGGGGGTGTTATATTTTAGAAACGTACCCCTCTTTCCGCCCCCTCCCGCGCCTGCCCCCTCCCTTTGCCGTCTCTTTCGCTCGCTCCTTCTCTCGCACACAATAAGTTTTGGGATTCGCGAGTCCGGTTTAGTTTCTGATCAATGTGGCCCGAGGCCCCCGGGGAGAGCGCGTGGGGACCCGGCTGCTGCGGAGTTGGGAGATGGCTCGAGTTTAAAGCGCGTCTTCGTTTCTCTGCGGGGATGAGGCGAGAGGTGGGGAGCCATATTTGTAACTTTGTCGTGTTCGTGAACGCGCCCTTTCTCTCCCTCCCTCCCTTTCTCTGCCTGCCTTCCTTCTCCTTTCTCTCTCACTCTTTCCACCCCACCTTTGGGCCAGATGCTATCTTTTCTCCCTTCTTCCTCGCGGAAGATGGGAGGGGGTACCTTAGAAAGAGGGAGAGGGATTGTGGAGTGTGCAAATGCTCAGATAATCCTCACGCCTCCCCAACCATGAGCGATCGCTAGTGTAAGTTGCCCGTAGTCTGCGTCCCGGTGAGCCCCCGACCCCCCGGTTCTCTCCTCAGATGCCAACCTTGGCACCCTGATGCCCCATCGGCACTAGCTACCCCACCTCCGGGTCCCTGCTTCTCCCGGGGTGGGCTCCCTGGCAGCCATTCGGCGCCTGGCTAATAAATGAGCACGGGAAACTTTATCAGGACCCGAGGTGCCCAGAGCTGGTGCTGCTGTGGGGACCGGTCGGGTCTACATTCTTGCAGGCACGGCTGGCACGCAGCTCTGGGATGGGCAGTTCGTCTGGCCGTCGCCGTTATGGATTGGGCAGCGGCGGGAGTATGGCAGGAGGAAACTTACACCGGTGGGAACAAGCAGGCTGGGCGCGAGCCCACTGCTAGGGGAAGTGAGGGTGGGTGGGTGACTCGAACGCTTCTGTTTATTTTTGTCTCCCTCTCGCTTTCACACACTCGTGTTGTCTGCGAGTTGGCCCATCCTAGAGACCCTAGGGTCAGAGGTGGAAATCCTGGCCGGCTTCCCCTCAAGGCCCGGTTGTGGGGAGAAGGGGCTCGCGGGCGGGAAGATCCCAGGTTCAGCCTGGGCGTCCGGGGGGTCGGGCGAGTTGGGGTTTCGCGCAGCACGTTGCACTGACCTGTCGTCCCCCAGCCACTTGGCCCCTCTAATCCTGACAAAGGCAGGCCTCGCTTCCTCTATTCTCCTAGTTCCTCCCTCCAAACCTGAGTAAGACTTTTGAAAACAAGCTTCTTTCTGCCGTCCGCCCATCCTCACGCAGCTGTGCACTGGAGACGTGCTACAGCCTTATGGCGCGCAGGGCGGGGAGGAGGGGGCGCCGCTAGCAGCAGGACTTGCCGCGGGGCCGCCGGTCTTGGCCGGTGGCGTCCTGACCCAGTCCCGGTGCCCGATCCCGAGGGTGGAGGGGGCTGGGTGTGGTGCTGGGGGAAGGGGCCGGACGCGGGCTTCCCCCGTACTTTCCGGAAGACCCCTGTACGTAGTTGGGGGGCTTCGGGGTCGCGGCGAGTAGGTGCGCATAAGCGCTGGGCCGGACCGAGTGATCCACAGTACTAGCCAACCTGGAGTGAAACGGAAAGCGGGTCGAACCGGCTCTTTAAACTTCCCCGAGTGTGTGCGCTGGGGGAGGGGCGGGCGCTCTGGGCTGGGCGCGATTTCTCACGCTTCGCCCCCTCGTCGCGAGTCCGCGGCCCACTCGCCTCGGCCCCGGGGCTCCTAGCGGGGTGGGGCGCGCGGGTGGCGGGGGAGGGGGCACTTGCTGCGCATGGGGGAGGGGAGGGCAGAAAGCTCTCGAAAGAGGGACAAAAGGGGTGGGGGAGGAGGAACTGGCTTTTTTGTTGTTGTTTTTCTGGTTTTTTTTGCTTTTTCAAATAAACGTTTTTGGAAAACATCGTTCTTGGGAGCCTCCCTCCCCAGAGTCCCCCTCCCCCCCACGCACCCACCTTCTGCAACCTCTCTCTCTCCCAAGTCGCATCTCGGGGACTGGTGGCCGCGACGCCGCCGAACTAGGACGAGCAGCCATGTTTCCCGGGGCGCCGGCGGCCCGCCCCTCCCCCACGGAGGCCGCGGACCCAGCTCGGCGGGGACCCTGGTGCCCACTGGAGGGGACCCGGGCGCGCACAGGCGCTGCAGAAGCCCGGCGGCGCGGGCCTGGGGATCCGGTCTGGAGAGGGCGCGGCGGGCCGGGGGCCCTCGACCCTCTCGGACCTGCGGGCCACTGTCTGTCCTCGCCATTTGCACTGATAAGCCGGCTGGAGACCCAGCCCCAGGGTGCCTGCCATTTTCGGGGTACAGGGGCAGCCGTTCCCGGCGCTGTGCCGGTGGCTCGCCTGTCGGGCGCCGAGCTGCCATTTTGTCACCGTGGCTGTTGTCGCTCGGGGGGGGGGGGGGTGAGAGGCTTGCGCCGTCGTCCCGACGGCTGCCCTCCAGCGAGGTGGCCTCTGGGGGAGCTGGCCCCAGGGACACCCCCTCCCCACTTTTGCATTCGGTCTTATGGAGGCTCCGGCTCCACGCCCGGGATCTAAGGATCCGAAAGCTATCGCAGCCCTGAGAAGGTGACCGTCTCCTTAGCAAGCGCCCCCGCCCTCCCACCTCTACTCCCTGCCTCCCCCCCCCCCCCCCCCGCCCAGCTCGGTTTTCCGCCGTGGCTCCCGCTGCGATCGCGCCTGCACGTAGTGAAAGGTGGCCTTGAAGATGGAGCGGTCGCCCTGGTGTTTGCGCCTTCGGCGGAAATGATAGGGTGGTGATTGGGGGGTGAGGATGAAACTGGAGGACGGGAGGGGCTCTGGCTCGTCAGTCTAGTGTCCCTAACCGAAGTTGAGGGCGTCGGCCTCCTACCCGGGAGGAACGAGTTGTCGGGATGCTCTGGGGGAAACGCCCTCCGGGGCCGGGCTCTAGAAAGGTTGGTCGAGTTTCAGGTGGGTGTCGCAGCACCCTGCAGGCTGGGGGAGCTCTCGGTATTTATCCTTGGCCCTCTCCCACCCGCCTTTTTGTTTTGGCGGGGAAGGTAGCTAACTACATAGTAACCGTTACCCTAAACCGAAAGAGAAATAGGACTTTCCTTTAAAAAAAAAAGTAAACTGTCTTTTTGTGTTGACTTAAGACTCAGGCAATTTGTTCCCAATGCTGGTCCGGATATGGGACTCAAGCGTGTGGTAGGCACCTCCCTGACTGTTAGGCTGGTGTCTACATGCAGAGACTAACTTCCATGGAAGTGTCCGGCATAGGCTGCCATCCGAGCCAGCGTCTACTTTGACCTCTGGAATGTATTGCATGCTTTTTTTTTTCCAGGCTGACTTACTACCTAATTGGGTTCAAGTGGCTCGGTATTTGCTCCAATTTATGCAAGCCAAGCAGGGATTCAGGGGCAGAGGACTGAGTGAGACCTTGGTGTGGTGGTGGTGATCAGTTGAGCCTTGTGACTGGCAGCCCCTGCTGTTTGCTGCTTGTTTTGAATCTGAAGCCATGGTGAGGCTGGCTTCTGAAACCACACAGACCTGGCTTCGAGTTCACCAGCTACATGCTAACCTGTGGTCTGGGACAGGTTAGCTCAGTTTACCTCCAAAGCTTTGCACATATGTCCTGTAAGACGGAGACAGTGCTGCTTTCTCAGTAAGTAACAAAATTGGTTTGATTTGTATCATCTCTGATGCTGGGGAGTGGTGAGGGATAACTGATGGCGTCCTGGAGCTTTACAATAACTAACAACTCCAACAATAATAGCGGATGCTTACATAGCCTCTTACTGTGTCTGGCATGTTGCTAAGTGGATTACACACATCTGTTAATTAATCCTCACAAGGGCACTATGTTAGGTACTGTCGTTATTCCTATATTAAATGTAAGGAAATCGAGACAGAGCTCCAGGTCACCGCTAGTGCAGAACCCAGATTCTAACTCGTTGGTTGTATTCAGCTTCTGTACTGCGTTGAAGCCCCATTACTAGTTGTATGTAAAGCACCATAGGGAAGGGTTTTTTCTTCTCCAGCCTTGGAGTTAATGCCACCTTATTAGCAAGAGGGTGGCTTGGAGTTTGTTGGACACTGAAACAAAGCATGGCTTCCTGTTAGCTTTAGGTGGGACAGACACAGGCAGGGTGGGTGAGTAGGCATTTTAAGGGGAAGCCTTACCTTGGTTTCGCATATAAATAAACATACATCGTTTTAGGGTGAGATGAAGCTGGCCTCTTTGATGTCAGGGAGCACTTTTAGGGTAATGAGAAAACAAGCAGGAGCCCTTCTTAGCTAGTAGTTATTTGGGGTCTTAGGTATAATGCATTTCCTGTTTTTATTAGTCTTTTCTACAGAAAGAACAAAACTAGGCAGAATAG